ACACCTCTGGAAAAGCCAAAAATACCCCAGTCCTAATCAGGGGTGCAGGGCTCAACAGTGGCTGCTGGAGGAGCAGGTGCCACTCACACAGACTCTAGTGCTGGTGTAACCATGGGTAGGTCCGACCAAGCCACGTTAGTCTGTGTTTTGCAGCAGGATTTTCTTTCTTGTACCCCTCACCTCCTGTCCTGTACTGCAACACTGCTGCTCCGCTGCCTCTGGCTGTGGTGACGGAGCACCAGTAGGTGCCGGCATCGGAGAGCTGCACATCCCTCAGCTCCAGGGAAGCGTTGCCGCCAATCACCTGGTCTGCGAACACCGCCGTGCGGCCCTGAAACGACGCGTCTTGCTCTTGCAGGTGGTCCTTCCCACCTTTAAACTCGTGAACCAGCCCGGCTACTCCCGTCTTGGCCCACCGGATCACTATGCTGCCCATCTGGATGTCGGGCTCGAAAGTGCAGCCCAGGATGCCACGCTGGCCAATGTTCCCGGAAGACGTCAGCGCTGTCACGCTGATGGAGCGTTTTTCTGCAAGAAGAAAGGAAGGCGGCAGGAGAAAGGCAAGGTGATGGGCGCGGAGAAAGGCCAGACTGCCCTGCAGCGGTCATGCACCAACCCCGAGGGTGAACGGGCACTGGAACATCACAAGGACACCGGTAGCAGCTACCAGTGTGGCTAGCAGAGGTGAACTCCCGTGGCTTATGTACCAAGATAAAGCACAGGAGCATTTCTTTAGCAGGCAGTCTGCTTCAAAAAGTAGCTCGTCTTATTTGTTTGAGAAGAATTTGCATGGTGTTTTCTTGCTTACTTATATGTATCAGGGATTTTTCTTTTTGCAGTTGCCAGAAGAGTGTGATTTTTGTGTCTTTTCTTAGTTGGGACCTCCCTTTATGCAATATAAATGTGATTGCAAGGCGTAATGCTGGCAGAGAAATAAGAGGCTGCTCTTTCACCCTTACTGGAATCCAGACTGCTTTCTTTCATTTAAGAAAAATCAGCATTTCCCTTCCCTGGGGACACAGATCATTTGTCAAGTCAAATCCTAACTAGCAAGCTTGAGAATTAGCTCCTTCCCAGAGCCAGGCCCTCTTTTCTGCTCTTTTCTGAGCAGCCCTTCCCTAACTGCCCCAAGGAGGCTGCATTTTGGCCAACACCAAAGCAACACATTTTTGTCATCTCTGAGGGAGCAGGGGAATGTGCCCCATCTGGCAGATGCTGCCCAACTTCACAGTAAATCCCATCATCTCCTCCTGCCTGTGAGAAGGAGCACAGTACATGCAGGACTTTCTGTACGTGCAGGTTTAGGGCTCCAAGCCCAAGGAAATTTCAGCTAACACAGCACTACATTTCCAGCAGCAGAGGTTGTGCTACATTTATTGACCCCTTGTCTCAGCTGGCTTCCCACGGGCCAACAGATGGAGTTGAACGTTTCAGTTGCTAACACCAGAAAACTAAAAAAAAAGCAACCAAATTAAAAAAAGCCTTAATTTCTGCTGTGAAAGCATAGGTTAGGCATTCACATCCTGGGGCAAAACAGAGCTGACCCATAGCGCCGGGGCTCATATGTGCACAGCCGTTGCTGCAGCCTGGGGCCGGCCCTCTAACAAATTTTCACAGAAATTAAGAGTCGACACAGATTTCCTCACTCAGCTCTGAGTGCCAAGTGCTGGTGTCTTCTAACCCACCCTGAGCACGTATGTGTATGTGTAAATCTCTGCATTATTTAAAACCTAAAAGAGCTCACAGTCTCCAAGGAGAGTACAGCTCCTTGTGGTTTAATGCCATGGAATGATACCTTGCTGAGAAAGGCCAGAACTGAAATCGCCTGTGCAGCCTTAACTCAGCGATCTGGTACACAAGCTTTATAAAGCGAGCCTTCGTGAAAGGGTCATAGGTGGCATTTCCACACAAGATCACTCCTCAGCCCATGCACAGGGTGGAGACATGGAGGTAGCGGCAGGGCAAAAGTTCATCACCCCACTGGTAACAGCAAGAAATCTGAGAAGTCACATACCTGAGACACCAAACCCGATGATCAGGGCAATCACTGCAGCCAGGATGATAATGACCGTAGTCATGCTATTTGGGGAAAAAAGAAAGGACAATGTTACCGTGCAGCCCACCTCCTTTCACACCCTATGCCTACGGTGCCCGTTTGCAGAGCTGCTGGCAGGAAGGAGGTCAAGGCAGGTCAGCCACAGACCTAGACCAAGGTGGACCAGTGAAGCACATGACTACAGTAGTGATGAACATCAGGGTGAGCACTCGTCATCAAAGGTGGGGGACCATGTGGCGGGGGGGAGAGGAGACCCAGGTTTTGCCTTTGGAAGGAGGCAGCCGGTCCCAGTGGAGGATGCTCCTCTCTGCATCCTCTGGTGCAGAAGCGAGCCGGGCAGTCCCTGCTGGCACTTGTGAGAGACCAGTTGCCCAGGGAGGTGAGCAGAACACTGAGACAGGCCTGTGACCCCAGGAGAGACCCGGTACGAGCCAGGCAGTGGGCAGGAGGAGGCTGGAAACAGGGTCAGGTCCGTGAGCTAGCTGGTTTGGGGATGCCCCGTGCACAGATGGGTAAGTGGCTGTCAAATGAGAAGCTGAGGAGGAGAAGACCACTTGCCAAGCCACACCGGCAGAGCAGCACTGGCAGAGGAGGCAACAGGCAGCACGGCATGGAACAGCACAGCCTGAGCCTTGCTGAGCACAAACCATCTCCAGCACAGCCCTGGCTCGGACAGACCTGTAAGCATGGCTTGGTGCAGGTTCCCACCACAGCCGGTGGGGCTGTCACACGTGGTCCTGGGTACATTGTCACATGGACTGGGGGTTGTGGCAGCAACCTCAGCTCCCCACTGGAGCAAGCCCTGAAGCACATCCCCACAAAACCCCACAGGTATATCCCAGGGCAAGCAGCTCATGCCCATCAGTCTCACAGGCTTGCTGGGCTCAGCCCGGCTCAGGACTGCCAGAGGAGAAACCCAGAGAGCCACAGAAGGTCCTTACAGGGGACTTTCCCTCTTCCCCAAGTCTGGCAGGGTGCTGGAGGGAGCTGTGCTGCAGGAGGCACAGGCACCGGCCATGGCCACCGCACCAGCATTCGGGGCTGCCAGCCCAAGGCCTGTTTTGCCCCACTGTACACAGAAACTCCCCAGCTGCCTCTTCCCATCTCATCCCCAGGCAGGACCAGGCTGTGAGATGTCACAGGCCTCCTGCCCACACAAAAATAGCTGCTTGGCTTCAGCTGCGTTCACCAGCTTGCCACACACCCTTTCCCAACACATTGGGCAGCCTCCTGCATGAGAGCGCATCGGCATCCGTACATCCGCACGACTCCTCCCATCGTTAATGTGTGCCTGCGTCAGTTACTTGCACAATTGCACCTCAATCACCGCAGACTCCAGGATTATAGGGCCGATATAGAGCTCTAGGGAGTTGCACCATGTGAACAAGCCCCTTCTGCAGGGAGCAGCTGGGATGGGAGAAAGGGAAGATGGGCTGAAAGAGGGGATGGAGAGGAGGGGAGACATTGCAGAAGGCTTGCTTGTCCTCCCACTGCCTCCCTTCCATCCTCATCCTTAAAGCCAGCGGAAAGTTGTCTGAGAGACCCCTGTCTGCACATGCCAGCATGCTCAGGATAAGGGTTCAGAACTATGTGTTTCATCACAGGTGTGCCATATGAGGTTCATATGAGTCCATACATACATTCACATCCGTACCAAGCCCTCCCTGCCTAGACGCCCTCAGAGCTGGGAGGTGTAACCAGTCTGGCTTCCTCCTTATTCTCACCAGCTTTCACTCACAACCAGGGTGTACAGCAGTTCTCCGCCTGCCCCACCCTCCTGGTGCCCCACAACTGCAGTCACAGCTGACCCCATCGGGGAGGAAAGCAGCAGATATCCTCCAGCCACAGGCATCGGGTAGCCGGGGACCCATCACCAGCCACTGCCTCCCCTGGGGGCCTGTGAGATGGGGACTTCGTTTGTTGGCTCATGCAGACCCTGCAGGGTGACAGCTCCCAGCGGAGACTTGTCACGTCCCACCGGGGCTCAACCCCAAGTCTCTCAGGGTCTCAGCCAGGCTCACTGTGGGACAACCCTGTGCTTTCCTATTCCAGGGCATATATGGAGTCTCTTGCATATGCTGAATAATATCTACCTCCCTGAGGAACTCCACCAATTTCTATGGAGCTGATCCCAGAGTGAGATAGTTTCTATAAACTCAGCCAAGGTTGCCATGATCAGCCTCAGCTCTCACGCCTGGGAAGCACGGGCTTACACCCACAGCACATATGCCTGGAGCAAGTGGCAGCCATGCTGTGACTCACCCTCACACCTCTAAAGTCCTCCTTCCCGAGAGTGGCCAGGGGAGAAACTGCTGGGACCTGAGGGATGCTGCCTGCAGTTTACAGAGGATTTCATTTATAAATGCTGGAGCGGGTATGGCAAGGGGACAAGCAGCCAGGATGCCCTCCTGTGCAGTCTCTGAATGCTTCAGGTGCCACCACACTTGCCCCTGGTCCTCGAAAGGACCCTCTGGCCTGAACACCACCTCTGCCCTAGCACTGTGCCAGGCAAAACCATCCTCAGCTTGCTCACAGACAAACACAAATCAGGACTAACAGGCCAGCAGCAACGCTTTTGTCCCCCACTGGTGCCACCTGCTCCTGTATCTGCAAAGCCTTGCCAGCTTTGCATCCAGACAGGTGCTTCCCACCCCTGGTTCAAGGCAGCAGCAGCGCTGACAGAAAAAGCCGCTCCCTTGTTACAGGAGGGGGATAGCAATTTTGGGTACATGGATACCACTGCCCACTTCAACACCCCTTGCCAGGGACAAGGGGAAATCAGGCCCTCTGGAGTTTCCTCCACAGCAACTGCGAGATCCAAGAATCACAAGGGCCTTAAAAATATTTGCCTATGAGCCCCCCGGGGTGTATTGAGTCCATCTGGAACGCAGGGTGAACAAACAAGAGGAAGCTGGCAACCCGGCCACATGCTGACAGTAGTTGTGTTTCGCAACAGTCCAGTCCTGCAGTTCAAGCGAAAAGCAATTTTCTGTGCATCGGCACCCAGCGTTTCTGCACAAGTCAGAGCCCTGACGCCGCCCTCGGATCCCGGTGGCACTTTGGCAGCCTGTGGCATGCCGCTCTACACTTCCTACCTTCTTTTCCCTGGTCCCACTCATGATCAGCCAAACGGGGTTTTGCCTGCAGCTCTGGGCAGCCTGAATGCTGCTGAGCACAGGGGACAGAGAGGCTTGCAGCTCCGCCATGACAGGCGGCAGGAGCTTAATCTTCCTGATCTCTAGCTCCACGCAGAGTAGGCTTTCCCTTGGGAATGGGCTTAGAGGTGCAAGGATCAAAAAACCTGGAAGATTAAGAGATTGAAGGTCCCCTGCCTTCCTCCTTATATCAAAGCTTACTGTGGAAAAGAAATAGCATGGCAGGGGTAACCCAAAAGGAAGGGTTTTCCATTCCAATGAGTAGTTATTGATTGCAGAGCTCAACTTTTCTCAGCGCTTCAGTTTTATTTTTTGAGTTGTTTTGTTTTGTTTTTTCCTGAAATCAATAGAAACCTCCCACTGTTCCTCTGAAGCTTCCTGGAAAAGTCACCCCTCTCTCTGGGCTATTTCTGCATTTCAAGATTAGCCTGAAGAGGCCAACGGCCTTGAAGAAGCCTGCTGCTTCCAGTAACCTGCTGCTGTCTGGCTGTGTGCAGCTGCCCAGGGTGGGCAGAGGCGCTGGCAGAGCTGGAGGGTGGTTCTCAGAGCAGCAAGGGGTAGGCATTCGTTTTTCCACATGCAGCAGTTATTGTATTTCCCTGACAAAAAACAGCTGGGCTGCCTGTTGAGAATAACAGAGCTGGTATGTATTCCAGATGCCTGAGGAATACGATGCCCGATGGATGTTTACACCGTGTTACGTTATGTGTACTAGTGATGTCACTTTTGTCACTGAAAAGGTGCAGATAATATTACAATTTAGTTCTTCCTTGATGCTCCATGTGAGAAGGCTGGAGCACGGCTCATGCGTGAGAGGTCTCTTCTGTTCACAAGTGGACTGTCCTTCTCCCTGCTGCTGTTCAGCTTAGGTGGGATGGATACTTGTAACAGCTGAAACCTTTTTGACAGAAGAAATGCAAGCAAGGATGTCTCACATACCTTGCTGGAGCCTTTGCCTCCATCCATCCAGCCTGGAAGAGCCCATACCTGGGATGAAGAGACGTGGATTGTTGGTGGCTCTGTTCAAGCAGTCAGGTTTAGATGCCAGCCTGGTCCATGTTCATCAGAGGCTGAAGTAAGTTTGCCAACTAATTTAGCCATCTGGCAGGGGTTATTTTCAACTAATCAGGAGATAAGGATATGAGGTATATATTTTTATGGCCTTCCCCACAATACTTCTTTTTCTGACTGTAGTTCACCAAGACTTGGTCAATAGCTCCAAAGGCTCATTGAAACAAGAGGCGCAAACCAGCTTGCACATCTTCCCAGCTCTTACTCCTGGCCCACACAGCAAGGAAACTTGCCGTAGGACAGCGTTTGCCTTTCTGCCCACAGCACACCAATGCCTGAGGGCCAGCAGAAGGAACACGGAGCCTTCCTCAAGTCATTGATACCCCAACCTACAACAGCAGGAACACAGAACCTTTCTCGAGCCATTGATACCCTGACCTACCACACAGCATTCAAACCTGAGGTAGCGTATTCCAGCCATGCACAGTTTCTAGGGCACACATCTCCATCCTGGCTACAGTTGATGACCTGCACATAGGTGTCTGACTGCTAATGGCCTTATGGATTGTATAAAAGAAGCTGTACCAGTATTTAAGTAGCCTGGGTGAGTGCAGTATAGAGTGGAGCTGCAAAGAACTGCTGTCTTGAAAGCTCCTGGCAGCAGGGTGATACAGCTGAGGCCTCTGGAAAATGCAATTCCCTCCCTCCTCTCTCCCAAAGCAGATGCAGATAATACCATACCTCCAGAAAATGACCTGGCCTTGGGATGCCATGGTCACGGCACCTACGAAGACAAGCCAAACACCAGGTGCCCAAAGGTCCCACACTGTTCAGCACAGCCCCTGTCCTTCGCATGATATATTCTCCTGGGCTGTCCTCCTTAAATAACTGAACTCAGCTAAGGAGTGGTGAGCCCAAGCAGTGAACTCAGGAATGAGGAAGCAGTGAGCATCTCAGCTCCCCCCACCAGGCCAGTCAAAAGCAGGGAGGCCTGGTTAGTCACTGGGGCAACAGGAGAGACCTCCTACACCATCCATTAAAGGAACATGTCTAATTTAAAACAAAAAATAACACAGCTCATGGTTTGATAGCCAGCTAATCCTGGGGGCAGAGTGCAGCAGTCTCCCATGTAGATCCACAGCTCACTCATGACTGGTGGGTTGTGTGATATCCAGGACTAGCTCAGATCTCCTTGCTAAAATCTCCAGTCATGCTGTTGGCACTGGGCAGAGAGGTCCCACCTGCGGGTCCCTTTCCTGGCCCCATTTGCAATGTGCATCTTCCCCTGCCTCTCTGTGCTGTGCTAAGAGGCTCCTCCAGGCTCAGCAGTGCTGTCAGAGCCACACAGGTTTAGCAGTGGCCTCTTTTCTGACTGCTGTTTTCTTCCGCTGAACTCCTCCAGACCAAACTACTTCTCCTCCCCAAGGCCAGCTCCTGCTGCTCTCAGATCTGCCATTATGGTGGACATCAGAGCATATAAAGGAAAAAAACTGGCACAGACCCTGCAAACCTTTCCTTCTGTGCTTGGTCTCACTCAAGGTTGGGGACAGGATGAGTAGCTCTTGGGCATAAGAGGTCGAGAAGGGCAGAGAGATTGTGAAAGAGCAGAAAAGTGAAGGCAGCTTGCACCACTGTGTTCAGTTTCCTGAAGGACAACCTGTGATTCCTGTCATCTGTGTCTGGACTGCATTCCAGGGGGGATGGGGAAAGGGGAATTTTTGACAGTCCATAGCCATCTCCAGCAAGTTTGGATGGTTAGTGGGAGTGAACAGCTTTCCCATGCAGAGACTGAGGATGCCCAGAGGAACTGGGAACAGTCCAGCACCTAACAAAACCCAAATTACTTTCTCTGCAACAACCAGAGGTTAAAATCAAGACCAATTAGTACTGGTCAGTGATGACCAGACCAGCTGCAAGGACCGAGTAGTGCTCAGGAGGGTTTACGATGCCCTGAGGGGCACAGTAGCCTTCTAACTGTGCATGTGTGAGATTTCAGAAGTATGCACTTAGTCTTTTGGACCACAGTTCAACTCCAAAAGAGCCTATTCACCTCTACAAGGGATGAACATGGCCAGATGTGATGCATGACACATAACAGACTTTTCTAGACAGCAGAGACGGGGCTGGAAGGGGCTGTGGCTCTTGTAGAGGCATCCAAACTGTATTCCAAGGCATTTAGCACCCAGGACTCACCACTTCCAGCCTCCTCATGCCAGGATGAAGTTACATGTCACAGCTTGTGTTGAACCTCCTCCCACATCACACCACCTTGCACTGAGGAAAGCACAGATCTGAACCTCCACTAAGCCCACTCACCTGTTATGAAACAAAGTAAAGTTAGAAAGCAAATGGTTTCCTGCCAGATTAGGGAGTTGAATTGGCTCCCCAGGTGGTCAGAGGAGAGTCACACCTAGTGATCCTGCTGATGCGGCAGGACCACATGGCCTGCAGCGAGGACAGAGGAGTCAGGGTGGGGCCTTCTGCTTTCAAGAGTGACTAGTCGTTGGGTTTACTCAGCCATTCATGTGCTACTTCAATGCGAATGCTTGACTGCAAAGCTAATTGTTCTCCAGGTAGAGGAACTACCTGAACACCCTGTGCAAGGTCTGTGGCAGAGGTACGAACAGGACCTACTTCTAATGCTCCGGTCTTGGCTGTTACTGAAAGCACATCCTTCATCCTACAGCCTCTGAATGAAACTGAGGAGTGGAAATCTTTCACCTGAGAATCCCTGTTGCTCTTTGGTTGTTGCAACAGTTTAAACTTATAAAGCAGACTTTATATTGTTTTCACTTCCCTTCTGCTTTAGCATGGAATCACCCTTTTTAATCTGAAAAAAAGAAATCTGATTTATTTTGTAGTATTCTACTGATTACTAAACTACTTGTAATTTAGCAGAGCATTACTAGATGCTAAGAATAGCTCTAGGCCATAGTGGCCTGATGGGAAATGCACATTAAGAAATATCCTGTTGCCCTCAGTGACACCTGATTTACAGCTGCCTTTGGTGCAGTGCACCAGTTAACTCCGGGTTGCAGCCGCAGCACACCTCACCACACAGTCAATGATTGGGTTACTTCCACATTGGAAAAACAGGTCTGTTTCTCAGGCATAGGCAGCCCTGGCAGGACAAGGGCAAGTCCCATTCACCAGGACAACACCACATTAATTTCTGAGCAGCTCTCATGCTGGAGCCTACTCCTCTCCGTATGTTTGTACTGAAAAAAACCCAAGAGGTATTCAGGATGTTTCCCAAAGAAATCAAGGATCTGTGACCACATGGTCTGCCCGGCTCTTAATATTTTTGAAACTATTGGCAAAATCCAACCAAATGTGACAGCAGGATCTGATCCCACATGCCAGCTTCTGCACTGCTTCTGCGATCTTCTGGGGACAAATTGGACACTCATGCACAGAGCTACAAGCGCAGCCGTGTCGCCAGTGTGGTTTGCCTCCTCTGAGACGGGAGAGATACCCTAGCACGATACCTGACCCTAGAGGCATCCTATGTGGAGCCCTCCAGGCTGCGGGTCCTCTTCCAGGTCTTCCACAGTCTCTTGTTCTTGCTGTGCTTTTCCTTCCAGCTATGCTCTGTTTTCCCTATCCACGGAGTAAGTCCTCCTTCTCTTCCTTCCCAAAGCCCCTAGTCATGTTTATCACCAGTTATTTTCTTCCCCCCACAAAGTTTGGAAACAGGCAATTTTATCAGCAAGGGCTTTTGTCCTGGGAAAAACATGCACATTTTCCAGTGCCATTCTGTCAGCACTGCATCTATGTCTTCCTTGAAAACACCTTTGTTATCTCAAGGACCAGCTGGTCAGAAATAACACCATGTAGCCCAGCAGACTAACTACACCTCCTGATTCACCACCTGACAAGGCTGATTACCAACAGAGCACTGGAAGCCATTCCTGGGAATGGCTGTTGGGGACCAGTGTGAGACTCCAGCAGATCAGTAGGATATATTCATTTGGCAAAGCATTCTGAGTAATGAACACTGAAGGCGAAGTCTGCTTGCAAATAATGGGTGGACACTCACACCTAACCCCCACAAAGTGACTAAGGTCATTAAATGTCTCTTCTGCACATGATTCTTCAAGCTATCCTCATGCCTGGGACTGAGCCTTCAAGTCTACCAGGAAAAAAAAAAAAATCAATACAAGGCCTGACCCTGGCAGGATTAGTACCCCATGCTGTCTGAAAACTGCTCTCCCCATGTCAAATACAGAGCTCAGCCCAAGCTGACTGCAGTTCCCTGAAGGTTTATATGTTCGCTGGTGTAATTCTCACAAGCAGCTTCTTGGAAAATGTCAGCGACAGGGTGTGTAAGGGATGCCTAACACAAAGAGAAAACACATTCCTCTGTCTGAGAGGACTAAGATGTTTTTAGACAGAAATTATGTGCCTAGAAAGTAGCGCTGTCCTTATGTGTTCCCTCTGCAACACAGCATGGAAGCTCCGATTAAAAACAGAGCACAAGTAGGGGCTAGGGGGCAAGAAATAGAAAGACACAGAAAATGGGGCATTTCATTTTACACCACATTCTGTACTGAGCACATACCAAGGACAAGAATGAGTTGCTGTTTGTTCCATTAAAGGTTAACTCAAATTAAACTTTCACTTTGAAATTTCAGAGTCAGCAACTTGGAGACTTAAATTGCCTAACTTGGAGATTTAAACTGCCTAACCTTCCCCTGTTTGTTTGACAGCCCTTTCTGGATGATTAATGGAAAGCTATAAACAGCATTTGCATAAGGATATCTATCTCCTTTGCTGGGAAGAAGAGGTTCCAAAACTGGCTTTGTAAGAGGCACGAACAGCAAATGAGAATCTTCTAGGTCTGAGCAAGCAAACAGCCAGCACAGGTTTCTACTATTTACAAGCCAGCTGTCATCAGCCAAAAAGCAAGAACCAGTCCTTACTGTTGACACTGGAGCAGCATTCCTCTCCCCAAATGACCAACAGTCAGACCTTTGTCCCCACCCCAGCTCCCCAGGCAGTATTACGAGCCCCTGGCAACACACACCTACTAGCAAGGTTACCCCCAGGGCAGTAGCGTTCCCAGTCTCAATGACACGAATGTGTTTTGTTCAGGAAGGTATCTGGGGTGTCTGCTTCACCCCAGCAAGCGGCAGGCAGCAATCAGCAGGTCAGCAGTTGCACTTCCAGGAAAGTGCTTCTTCCTCCTCATCATAGATGCCATTACCACAACTATGGGTTGGCAGCGCATGTACAAGCCCAAAAGATACATGCCCGCCTCCCCTGTGGAAAATGGGACAAGCTCTCCTTCTGCTTGACCAACCTGATCTCCTTCTATGACAAGGTGACCCGCCTGGTGGATGAAGGAAAGGCTGTGGATGTCATCTACCTGGTCTTCAGCAAAGCCTTTGACACCATCTCCCACAGCATTCTCCTTGGGAAGCTGGCAGCTCATGGCTTGGACAGGCGTACTCTTCGCTGGGTAAAAAATTGATTGGGTGGCCAAGCCCAGAGAGTAGTGGTGAATGGAATTAAGTCCAGCTGGCGCTGGTCACGAGCAGTGTTCCCCAGGGCTCAGTTTTGGGGC